AATACAACATAATATGTTGAAATTACATTGAAATATATTATTGTTCCATTTGTGAGATGAGATCCAATGGTTTCTTGACTATCTCTTTGATAATCTAGAGCAATTTGATCAGCTTGTTCTGCATCTTTGAGACGTTTTGATGCACCTCCAGTAGGTAATGTACTGCTCTCTAGTATGCTTTTTATGTCGTATCGGTTTATTTCAAAGTTGGTTACTGCATTTAGTCCATGAAATTTTATTGCTGCAATATCATAAGTCGCCACCAACTCCTCTACTGCATTTCAATTCCAGAAGAAGACAAAGCAAAAAAAATGAAAAAAAAGTTGATTAGCGTATGCAGTTCAATTCCAGAAGAAGACAAAGCAAAAAGAATGAAAAAAGTTGATTAGCGTATGCAGTTCAATTCCAGAAGAAGACAAAGCAAAAAGAATGAAAAAAGTTGATTAGCGTATAAAGGGAGGGGAAAGTGGGAAGGGATAGAAAGAGAATCGGTGGAAGGAGGAGGAGATCGGAAATTTTAATGGGACAGGGGAAGAGAATGAGATGTATCAAAGTAGAGAAAGAAAGAAAATAGTGTAACTGATTAGCGTATTTAGTGGATGTATCAAAGTATGTGAATACGCCATTAACAAGGAAATTATCAAATTTACTCCCCCTTACCCATTCACCACTGTGTTGAAGTAAAATCGAAATCAAAATTGTAACAGTAGTTCCAACATTCACAATCTCCATAGACATTAGTTGAGTTTGTCGATTTTGTATCAATTTCACAATTTAAGAATGAAATCTCGACTCTATTAAGCTTATTGTAGGCAACAATTGTGCAAAAACTTTGAATTTCAGCATGAATTTTTTGGAGCTCTTCTCTGGGTTTAATCTTCAGAAACCCTAAAAAAATTTCACAATGTAAATAATTGGGCGACTTTTATAGTGTTTGGAGGTTGAAGATCCCATACTGAACGCGTGAATTTAGGATACAAAATCGATTAGGACTGCTTTCCTTTTCGTTTGTGTTGAGCGTATAATTTCAGCTTTTTCAGTTGCTAGCCTTTGTTATTGTTTTTAGGCTATGACTTATAAGGGGTTATTTTGTGGCTATCATGTGATATAAGTTTGGCACTAATGGCTACAAATGAAGTTTGCTAAAAAAAAACTAAGAAAAGTCAAAGAGACGAGTATTACTCACATATAAAACTTAACCAATTATTCTTTGAGTTGAGTTATTTTTTTTAGTTGAATTCTTGGAATATGGTTTTTTTATCTCCTAGTTAGAATTAGTTATTGTGTTTCTTTACCGTCTCAGTATTTTATTGATACAATAAAATTTATTTTAACAAAATAGAAGAATTCAGTTCATGTTGATTTTTTGGAACCATTCAAGTTTTTTTTTCCTATTAACCATATTCCATATGTATGTAACTATTAGATAGGTATATTTTGATTTGAATCGGTCCATGGTTTAGATTAAGGTTTCTGTTCATGAGGTATCTTTTTCTTATTTCGATTATTGATTGGTAATTTTTTGAAATTAGCTAACAACTTCAAAGTTGTATTAACAACTAAATTCCTTTGTTTGCAAATAAAGTCGACTTTTCTGAATACAAAAGTTTTATGTACTATTGCATATTATCTTTCAAAATTTTATGTTTTTGCAATTTTTACTTATACATCATCATATGTATTAGAAATATTAACAAATGTGCAAACTTTTAGGTTTGAATTTAAATTGTAAAACTCTTTTAAAAAAAAGAATGAAAAGGATGAAGCGCTAGCCCACCTAGCTAACGGCCCACTTAGGATTGAGTTGGGATGACTAATTTAAGGCTCTTTCGAAAGAGAGCCGACCCGTTCTAGCCATCAAATTTTATGGCCCACGTGACGTGGGATGAGTTAGTCCATTTTGACAGCTCCACTTGAACGTAACTCCAACGAAAAATGGATGGGCGTGTCAAAAGAATATAGGGAAATTTTCATAAAGCACTATCTTTTAGTAGTATTAGCCATCTATATATATCATTTTCTATATTACGGATTATAGATACCTTTTATGTGGTTATAAGATGTATTTGATGTATTTTAACTATTGTATTCATGAATACAGTAGCAAAAATAAGCGTGAATCAATGAAGTCCAGCTAATCAGTTGTTGTATTCGAGTGTATTTGACTGTATTCATGGAGTGAAATATGGGATTACAGCTGGACAGATTATTGTATTCGACTGTATTCACGGCGTGCAATAGGGGATTATACTGTTTTTAAAATAAAAAGTGAATCAATTAACATAATAGACTCCTAATATAACTCAACAAACTCAATTATAACACAAAATTTGTATTTTCAGTTATAAAAAAGATTCTCAACCAAAAAATACCCCAAAAACATAGAAATCTTCAGAGAAATTATATAATACATCTGAATACATAAATTATATTAATTAAAAAAAACTTATGAATACATTCATGGCATATAGCGAGATAGTGAATCCGATGAAATACATAGAATACAGCGGGATACATTGAAATACAATGAAAAAAAGACAGAGAATACAATAAAATACATGCAATACAGCGAGATACATCGAATTACAATAATAATAAAAAAGACAAGGAATACAATGAAAATACAACGTAATCCGTTGAAATTACATTGAAATATATTATTGTTCCATTTGTGAGATGAGATCCAATGGTTTCTTGACTAACTCTTTGATAATCTAGAGCAATTTGATCAGCTTGTTCTGCATCTTTGAGGCGTTTTGATGCACCTCCAATAGGTAAGGTACTGCTCTCTAGTATGCTTTTTACGTCGTATCGGTTTATTTCAAAGTTGGTTACTGCATTTAGTCCACGGAATTTTATTGCTACAATATCTTAAGTCGCCGCCAACTCCTCTACTGCAGTTCTATGCAAAAAGAATGAAAAAAAAGTTGACTAGCATATAAAGGGAGGGGAAAGTGGGAAGGGATAGAAAGAAAATTGGTGGAAGGAGGAGGAGAACCGAAATTTTAATGGGATGGAGGAAGAGAATAAGTTGTATCAAAGTAGAGAGAGAAAGAAAATAGTGTAACTGATTAACGTATTTAGTGGCTTAGGGCTAGGAGATAACCAAAATTAAATATTTTGCTATAAACCTTAAAAGGTATCTATAGAATATACTTTTTTTAAATGGTATTTATTTAAAATAAATAAAGTGTTAACCTTTGCTATATGAGGTAAAAATTCCAAGAATATATGTACCAAATTATCCCTTAACTTTAATTATAATTTAAAATTACATTAGATAAAAGCTCTAGTATGGATAGGGATATCAATGGTTCGGTTCAGCTGGTTATTTAAAGTTTGTACCATTCTAATTTTTTTGGTTACTTTATTATGGATAAACAAAATTAGACTTTTCAAAACCGTCTCAATCATCTCGATTTCTCTTTAGTATCGGCACATTTCGATTAATTTTTGGTATTTTATTAAATATCATATAAAAGCCGTTAGTAGAAGTTAGATCACGATAATATACATACTTGTATAGGAGTTGGCAAAATTCTCAAGATATTTTTACTATTTAAGGGGTAATGAATCAAGAAAACATGAAAGATGGCCAGAGTTAGGATCCATCCCACTATTCTATAAAAGTGTAAAAGAAACTAAGGAATATAAGAAAAACATAAATCACACGAGTGGAAAGATATTAATCAAACTGGAGTCAAGAATAGGGTCTATAAAAAATTAAGTATTCAAAAAGATAAATTTAAATTATGCGAGAGAAAACATACTCAATATGTTGTATTTCTCCACTCATAATCACTGGAATACCTTATGTCTTGTTACTCATAATGTTGGAACTAATTTAGTTTCATTAGGAGCATCATAATAGGTTTGGGAGTTGAAATTTTGAGTTGTAATTATTTGTTGGCTTGTAACCGTTTTCATAAAAAGAAGTAACCCAAATAGTCGTCCACTCAACCACTTAAACTAAAAATAGTCGGTAGAGGTATAATATGCATAATATATGTATTACATGTGTATAAATAATATATAATCTATGTATATTGCAACAAAAATGTAAACAATAAATCCCTTTCAATAATCCTAAGGCCTAGAAAGAAATATAATGCTTTATTTTTTTAAAGTTAATATATTAAATCTATTTTCATATATAAATTTATTCGGTATATTTTGGTTTATTTTTATAAATAAAAAAATTTATCCTAGTTATTTGGTACAATTATAAATTTATATAAATCTACGATTTTATTAGAAGAACCTAATAATTAGTACAATTACATTTATATATTACACAATCAATTACAGAATAAACGTTTTTCATATAAAATATATAATAATATATAACAATGCAGATGTTATTAGTTACGATCTCAATTACAAATGAGAAAAATCGTAGATTAATGCAGTGGGGAGAATAAGAAGATTAAACTAGAAAATTTGAAGAATTAGAACAATAATTGTGAGAGCTTACTTCAATCTGTAGATTGAGGCCTCTAGATTCTGCTAAAACAGAGTATGAGGTCATGTCGCATAACTTTTAGAAACAGAGTAGGGGTATTTTTGTCAACAAATTATTTCGGTGCTAATGTAATGGCTAAATATAGTTGACTTTTGATTATGTGGCTAAATTTGATTGACCAACAGTAAAAATGGCTATTTATAAATTTTTCGCTTATTTTTTTCAATTTAATATATTAAATCTATTTTCCATATGTAAATTTATTTGGTACAATTCAGTATCTTTTTGATTTATTTTTATAAAATAAAAAATTTATCCTAATTATTCGGTACGGTTATAAATTTATATAATTTATGATTTTATTAAAAAAATCTAATAATCAGTACAATTAGGTTGGGTCGATTTAGTCGATTTTTAAATGTCCAATATATAGGTCAAGGGTAAAATAATATTTTCTTAAAACCGGGATAAGAGTAGACAAAAAACTTGGTAGACAAAAGTGCTCAAATTTTGAAAAATAGAGCGGCAAATCTGACACTTTTTCGCTAACTTGGTCGAGAAAACACCACCCACAAAATAACCTAAATAACTGTAGAAATTCCCCTAAACCCCTAAATCTCGGCCCAATTCGGATCCTAAAACGGGTTTGTGCAATCGACCTATAAATCCCTTCGAATCTCCCGCACTCAAATTCTCCAGCTTCGATTTATCGATTTGGGTTGGCTGTCAGCTCTGATTTCGGGTTTTTAATTTGACCCATTAATGGAACAGTGAGTCTTCTTCGCTCTAACCAATTGGAGTATCAGTTAGCATAGGAGCTGATTTATTGAGTATCGGCCAATGAGGTAAATGCTAGATTTTCTAATCTATGTACTGCTGGATTATAGGAATTTGTGTGTTTTGTATGTTAGGAATTGTTGTGTTTATGGTCTTAGCGTACGTAAAATTATTTTAAGATAAATTTAGTTAATGAACAGAATCACAAACTACACGCGCAAAGAAACAAAAAGGAGGAACAAGATGAAGTTAAGGAATATGCCCCGAGCTTTTGTCTAGTGGTAAGAGCGCAACGCATGATGAGTGGGTTAGACGCGCATCCTAGGTTCAGCATTGCCACTGATAGAAGCCCGGTATAAGTGGATAAGGTCAGAGGGGCGGACTCATTATTCGCTAAATTTGATTGTTCACCTCTATCCCAAGGGATTTCAGTTATTTAAAAAAGATGAAGAGAAGGAATAATGAAAATAAAGTGGAGCAAATTATTGAACCCAGTGTGTGATGTGTGGGTTCGAACCTGCCATAGATAAAAGCCCGGTCTTTAAGGAAGGGGGGTTCCATTTTTCACAACTATGCCCCGCTGGCCCTGGGATTGATCAGTTATTATAAAAAGGAAGAAAAGGAATAATGGAAAGCAAATTAAAAGGAATAAATATTTTCAAGTGGATTATATATTCATTGTGTTAGTTTTTTCTAACAAAAATAAAGGACTCGACTTAGGATTGAGCTTTAATATCATTGCCTACATGTTTCAACGATTAATGTCGATAATTCTATTTTGTCACATCTTTAATGCAGTCCAGACGAGGAGATTGATTTTTCTCACTGCAGTCTCAATAAGCAAAATTTTGACGCTACCTTATCACACGAAGAGCAAACGGCAGAGACAGTAGAGAGTCGCCTGCCAGAGGAACCAAAACCGGTAGATAGCCCGGAGAAACCACCTCAGTTCTTCAAGATTATCCTATCTCCTCATGCCTCTAAATTAGTAAGTTCTGCAAATTGGTTTATGATGAGGCATTTTTATAATATCTTTCTTTTCTGTTTATAGTTGTATGGCCTCTGTGCTCTTCATTTGTGCTTTGGTAGTGCTTTCTCTTCTTTAAGTTTGTGAAGATTTTTTAAGTTTTTAAATCCCCCTTTTGGTTTGTAAAAAATAGTTTCTTTTAATAAATAGGAGCATTTCGTCTAAAACAATGTTGATAGTAGAAGAGGTGGTGGATCCTGTGCATTTAGTCCTAGTCAACATCTTGTGCGTGGATGATTTTTAAAATGTCTGTAATTTGATGATCCATTTAAAGTCCAACTTCATTTTCGGAAACTTAATCGGACTAACATTGATTAACAAGTGTACCACTGGAATGTGTGTACTTTTTCGATGATGTCATTTTCTGTAATAAAATGACATCAAACTAGGAGTGAAAAATGTGATTTCAAATTAAGATGGAGATGCAGTAAGGAGCTTTCTTTAACTTAGGGGGTTAGGCCAAGTCGATATCTTGTTTCGAGTAGTATTAATAAATAATTAGCCAACTTTTAATATTAGAACCTAAGTTGCTCGGACTCGGGTGCGGGTATCCGATACGGGCACGGATTCGAGTGTCGGATTTGGCAAAATCTAAATTTTAATATTCGGTGGTGCTGATCCAGGTATGGATACGGGTGCAGAGATTCGGCTAAAAAAATTCAAAATTACAAAAAATAGAGCTATAAAGAGAAAAAAGGCCATTCAAGGCCTTCCACCAACTCTACATCTATATCGCTGCTACTGTCTACCAGAAGTCCGAAATCAGAACACGACCCCTTGAATTTTTGTTTTTTCTGAAACACAAAGCAACAAATATGAGGCAAAAGTACTGCAATATTGAAGTTATGACATTTGTCATGTCTTAAATCTGTTTTATTTTTAATTTGAGAAATCAAAATCTCAATTTCCCCCCAAATTTGTGGATGGACATAGGTCAAAGTATCCGAAGTTAGTTGACTGAATCTGGAACGTATCCCGCTCTCGCACCCGCTCCCATCCCGTGTTGAGATGGGTGCAACACCAAAAACGAAGAGTTCGCGCTACTTAGATTAGAACAACTCCTCTCTAACTCCAAACTCATGGGCGATGCTACAATATTTGAAAGCAAGTCATGTATTGTATCTATGATTGCCATGCCTTTCAAGTAGGTTTTTAAAATGTTCACGAGTGGGTTCTTGACATAAGCATTTTAGCAAATTGACATTTTCTTCATAGTATTTATGTATTTAGTGTGTCAAATTAAATGGGGTTAGATACAGGCTCTCGAGGGTGTGGAAAGCTTGAGGATCAGAAGGTATTTGGCAAACCTTAATTTGAATGTAAACCAGTCTAAAAAAGATCCCTGTTTTGAGCAGAACAAAAATGAATAACATGAATCCTTTGAATTGAAGAAATTGAGAATTAGAAAGGTGTCTGGTCTTCTTAGCATTTGATTGCATAACACCTTTGATCAGCTTTACCAGCAAAGGGATATCGACTTAAAAGAGGATTGATAACAATGGACAAGCTATCTTGGCTTTCGTTTTTTCATCTCTTTTGGTTGACCAATAACTATTTTTGACTTTCATGTTTGCTCTGTTCTGGGTGATCAAAATATTTTTTATAAGGAAAGATAAAAATAAAGAAAGAAAGAGGAGGTTTAAATACTTATATTCTCATGCATAATTGTCCCCAAAAAAATCTGTATTCTCATGCATATAGAACTCATTGAAGTTGAATCAACAGTGGGCAATGCAGCATTGCCGCAAATTGTTATTCGCTGGGAAATTCTAGTGGTTGTGCCATATATATGATAAGAAGCCAGCACCACGATTAAGAGCCTATAGTGGAAAAGAAATGTCCAGCTTAAGCAACTGAAATGAAAGCTTCAGTCATGCGAACTTGATTGACAGATTCTAGACCTGAGCTTACTGATCACTTTCAGTATTTGTTTTTTGTCCGTACAGGATTTTCCTACTTTGTATCGTGCTATCACTTTTTCTTTCTCCTTTCGTAGCAATATGTGGTTTGAAACTTGACTGCAGCTTCTTCAGCCTTCTTAGACCAACTTTTTAGTCTGAAGGTTTCCTTACCTTTCTATTTGTTTTCTACTGTTCTTCTCTTATGTTTTATTCATCTCTTTCCAATTTTGATATCCTCAGCACATCCCTGATGAATTTATGATGGAGTATGGGGACAATCTGCGAGATGTTGTGTCGCTCGAGGTCCCAAATGGTGCAATATGGAAAGTAAAATTGCATAACTGTAGTGGCATGGCATGGTTTAAGGAGGGCTGGAACAAATTCAAGGAGTACTATTCAATTGGTTGTGGTTACTTTTTACTCTTCCGATATACCGGAAATTCTCGTTTCTCTGTCTTTATATTTGATTTAAGTGCTTCCGAGATTGATTATCCTCCTGGCCCAAATGAAGATGAGATTTCTCCTGGCCAAAATGAAGATTTGACACCAGAGAATTTATGTGTTGTGGCTGAGCCAGAGGAAAATCCCTTAACATGTCAAGAAAATAGTTGTGCGGAGACGTTACTAATGATATCCCACCCATCAAGGTCAAATGTATAGATATCTTGAAGGCCAGTTTTCCTCTTTTTTTTTTTTTTCTTTTAAAATTTAGGATTTAAGTTATATGAAGGGGAGCCTTGACGTAACTGGTAAAGTTGCTGTCATGTGACCAGGAGGTCACGAGTTCAAGTCGTGGAAACAGCCTCTTGCATAAATGCAGTGTAAGGTTGCGTATAATAGACCCGTGTGGTTCGGTCCTTCCCCGGACCCCGCGCATAGCGGGAGCTTAGTGCATCGTGTTGCCCTTTAGGATTTAAGTATATACACTAATACTGAAAACATCATTTACGTTATCGATGAAGTTTAATCTATGATAGCAGGTTAGTTGCCATTTTTAATCGGACTACTAAGTAGTAATGCTTATCATAGAAATTTGCTTGCGTTTATCTTATAAGTACTTTGAATGTGCAAGACTTTTATATCATGTTAGTACGTGAAACTTAAACTCTTATATTTCTAGAGATACTTTATATGTTTGTTGTGAAAACATTATTTACGTTATCGGTGAAGTTTAATATATTATAGCAGGTCAGTTATCATTTTTACTCGAATACTAATTACTAATACTCATCATAGAGATTTGCTTGCGATTATCTGATAGGAATTTTGATCGTGCAAAACTTTTTATATCGTTAGTACGTAGAACTTAAGCTCTTATTTTTATAGAGATACTTTATATGTTTTTTTGCCAAAGAAGTTGTATAGATAACTTCATGGTGCTTAGTAGTAAGTTCCATGTTCTTTTATATTGAAGTTATTTGTGAGTAACTTGTTTATTCTTTCAATCATATTAGTCGTTGGCAACATAAATTTATTCAAAAACATATTTGTTTTTTAGAAAAATATCAGCATTTGTTACATTTTCTCCGGTACACCCTTATTGCTCCAATTAGTTGTGTGTGATTAAGTGAGACATTTAAGAAATAGATAAATGATAATTTAGACAAACACTCTTATAATCAAGGATATTAAATATATTTAAGTGCGCAATTTTTTTAAAAAGACCAGATAATATGAACCATAGGTAATATAATTTATACTTTTAGTATTGCAGTTCCATTTCAAATTTTTTAATTATCGAACTGTTCCTAGTGAGACATGAGTATAATACAATGTATCAAGCAAACACTTAAAAATCTTATTTATTATAAAATGACAAAAGCATCAACTTCAAAAGTCGAACTTCATATAAACTTAGTCGTTGATGGAAATCACAAACTAAATTTTAATAAATAAAGTGACAAAAAAGAACTAATTACTACACATCCTTTTCAAGCCTTCTTTGGTCCAATACTACTGTAAACACCTGTATTTAATTTTCAATTTAAAAAGAAAAAAAAAAACAAAACAGAACAATGGAAACATGTCATATTCCACCCCCTAGCTCGTTCCCCACTCACATTTACATCATTAATTTTAATCAGAAAAGAAATAAAAAAAAAGTTTAGAATAAGATAACCAAAAAAAATAAAAATAAGCTATTAATTTTTTTTTCATGAATATCTTTTTTATAACCATTTGATGTTCGGGACGTACTGTACCCAGTGGCGGAGCTAGGGAAAGGGAGGTTCGGATTGAAGGGGTTCATTTACCAGAAAATAATAGTATCTATAACGTCAGTGTTATCTATATTAGTATAATAAATGATGAATTCTCTCGGCTTCTTCGCTTGTTCATTTATTCTTTTTTGAATCACTTTCGTAAAAATCTTTCCTCCGTCTCAAATTCAGGCCTTGACGGTTCATTAGCTGGAAAAGTAATCTCTATCACGGTTTCATATTTTCATGGCTCGAATCCGAGATCTTTGACTACGGGTAAAAAGATTCAAAATTGTTGATGATCTTAATGAATGTCTTAATCATTAGTTAATCAATAGTTTACTACTCTAATTTAGAGCTTCATAATGTTGATTAATTATCACGTGAGACGTGGGCATCTTGAAATCCTCAATATTTTATTCGTTATTCTTCCATACACGTGTCAATGATCTGTCGATTGCCAGGTCATCAATGCATGTGTGAAAACGACATAAGGGATTGAGTACCTTATATCCAATAGTATGTGTCCACGTGGCTATTTTTAATTTGGGGTGATACTGTTAACCTGCGACGCGTGTGTAGATTGTGTATGGTCCACCACTATTTTCCAAATGTTGGTGGGTCCCGCACATGTAGAATCTTCTTTGGCCGACACTACTTTGAGACAAAAGTCGAAAGTGATCTTTTTATTTGCAATTAAGTGCCTATGGTTTACAGTATCTATGGATTTGGTCCTTCTTGTCAAGATTTAAGTTACATGAGACAGACAAAATAATTTGTTTTTGCACTATCGGTCCAATATTATTACTTTATTTTTAAAAAAGTACACACGAAGAAATTAATGGGATTCAACGGCTAATAAGTATGAGTTTATTCAAATCCTTATATAATTCAACACAAAAAAACTTTTTAACATTATATATATAATATAATTTTTTGCTCCGCCCATACTTATCATTATATAGTAAGGGTGAATGTAGAAGGTAATTATGAGTTTATTCAAATCCTGTAGATTTGACCTAGACTCTGTATATATGCTAAGAAGTTCGTTAAATAAGTACAAATAATTCATTTTTAAATTTTTTGTAAATCAAATGAGTTGTGGTAGAATTTCAAAAACGAAAGCATAAAGTTCAAATTTTAAATCAATTAAAACCCATGCTCAACATATTTTAATTTTCGAATGCAGGATTTTTGATAAAAATAAAAGGTCAAGTAGGTTTAAGTTAAATTTTCTCTTATATATCAATAAGCTAGACTCATATCGTAAGTTGTTTCATGCCATAAATATATTACGACATGGCCTCTAGTGTCTACTTAGAACTTAAACTCATAAGAATAAACCTTAGAATATACTATAGTTGATGATCCCACCCCAAGAATGGAAGCATGGGAAAATAAAGATTTTTGCATATAATCTGAGGAAAAAACTTCAATTAACATGAAATGAGGGAGTCAATTAAAAATTTCAAGCCAAAAAAATCCAAAAAACTCATCATAATTAGCCTAACACCACTTTTTCTTTCTCTAGCTGTATATTTCTTACTTTACTTTATTTAGCTGTATATGTAAATTATGGAACCATCACTTCAAACCATAGTACAAATTTCTTGAACTCTTCCCATTCCTCAATTACTACTCCAACGTGCATGTGTGGCTCATATCACTTTTGACCATTCTTTAATTAATTATAGCCAAAAAAAAAAATATCAAGATTATGTTGCTTGTTATTTCTTTTTCACCCTTCTATTCTCCTTTTGTCCTTACTCCTCCTCCTCCACCACCATCTTCTTCTTATTCTTGATCCTACAAGAAATTAACAAGAATCTTGACATGTTGAATGATCAAAGAGCTCTAGTCATAGCAAACACGAGCAACAATAACAACAACAGCAACAACAACAACAACAACAACATAGAAACTGATCACGATGATCAGCATGATGATCAAAATCAAGATCAAGATCATCGAGACGATCATATTAGAGACATACATGCTCTAACACCACCAAGGCAACCACTATCGACGAATATTAATCTTGGTCGTAGAAGAGAAACTTGGGAAACAAGTAGCCATAGATCATCATCTTTGTCCTCAGAAGGAGGAGCTCCAAGTGAGAACTTTACAACCATGAGTAGAGAGTTCAATGCTTTGGTTCTAGCTGGATCTTCAATTCCTACTACAAATAACAACAATGGTACAAGTCATGAAGCTGAAGGTACAAGTCATACCAACTTGGGAAGGATTTTTGAAGAGGAAAATATGGAGGAAAATAATCCTTTAGCTATTGTAGCAGATAATAATAATATTCATTTAGATCCAAGTCCATCACCTAGAGCACATGGTACAACTAGTGGAACTAGTGAGAGTTCAAATATGAGTGTAAGCCAATTACAAGGAGAAATGACAGTACATAGGGTGAAAAAAGAAGAAGTTGAATCAAAGATTAATGCATGGCAAACTGCTAAAATTGCTAAGATTAATAATAGGTTTAAGAGAGAAGATGCTGTTATTAATGGTTGGGAAAATGAAGAGGTCCAAAAGGCAACTTCTTGGATGAAGAAAGTTGAGGTATGTGTACTCCTTATTTCTCCGTCTATATTATCTGTCTTTTAAGATTTTTTCGTACCCTTTAAATATTTGAAATACGTATCGAATGGTTAAAAATATTTGAATTTAAGTTGTATGCACTTGTATACAACTTATATTAATTAAATCCATTTGTAATTCTTGACGTGAAGCAATAACATATCTCGGTAGTCGGTACTCAAAGAGCATGACATAGCTTCATATGATAAATATTAAGGTATGCGTAATGATTTTTTTAATTATCAGTATAATTTAACATGTTATAGCAGATTACTTATCGATTACAGCTATAAATAGAGTGATCTACAATGACATATTAAGTAACCTAATTATGTAAGCCTTGACGTAACTGATAAAGTTGTTGTCATGTGACCAGGAGGTCACGGGTTTGAGCCGTGAAAACATCCCCTTATGGTACTGCCCTTTTAACCTAATTATGTAAATATTTATTATCCTGTCTATCTATAAAAATTAAACTCATAAATAATAAAACTCCACTAAATGTAGCATTTTTAGACTCTATACAGACAGGTAACCAGAAGTACGTAATTGAATAATTTATGATCCATCTTTGTTAAACAGCCTATCCGACAATATTACGACAGTATAATTCATTTCTTTGAGTTGTTGAATATGAATTATATCCATATGACTTTAAAGGACAAACACAAAATGCATAAGTTCATTTCAAAAGTGAATTTTTTCTTGCTTTAGTCAGCTATTTATGCAGCTACAAAATATACCAAATTATAACCCCCCCCCCCCCCCCCACAAGGCAAAAGTAAAGAAGAAAAAGATCTTTTTGGTTTTGTTGCCTCTATCCTGAGGTTGGTGTTTGGAAACAGAATGTTTAATAGGTTTTTATACTTTTTTGTTCTATTTTATTTTGATACTCTTTTGTCTGTTTCGAATAATCAATACATATTTTATATTTAAAAACTTTTTAGCGTTAAAGTTCTCATTTTATCCTTAACGTCATGCTCTTATGGTCATAGAAATGTCATGATAAGTTTAATACCACAAGTTCTATGATGACTTTTGATATATATCATATCTCTCTTTCCTTTTCGGTATATGTTCAGAAAAAAAATAATACATTTATATATTTGGAGACCCTTTAACTTTAAACTTCTTATTTTATCCTTATTAGTATATATGCTCTTATAGCCCATAGAAAACGTCAAACAAAACGTCATTTGTTTGAGACCATAAGTTCGTATTTTTGATGAGTTGAAAGTCCTTTCTTTTCTTAAACTTTATACTCAATCAAACACCATCATATATGTTGCTCAGGCTCTCAAAAAATGCTCCGGCGTACTGGTTCTTAAAAAATACACTACTTTTGAAGGATCTGACACACATCCAATGACATCTTCAAAGAATTCGAACAACATAGACCACCTTATGAAATGAAACCGAGGAATAATATTTTTTTATTTTTGTGACATGTTTTTCCAGAGGAAGCTAGAGGAGAAAAGAGCAAAAGCACTAGAAAAAATGCAAAATGATGTAGCAAATGCAAGAAGAAAAGCAGAGGAAAGAAGAGCATCAGCTGAAGCTAAGAGAGGAACAAAAGTAGCTAGAGTTCTTGAATTAGCCAACTTAATGAGAGCAGTTGGTAGAGCTCCAGCCAAACGCTCCTTCTTTTAAAGAGTGCGTTCTGAAATGTATATCGAATTTTCTCTTTATATATAAAGGGTTAGATCCGAAATATTAGGTTCCTGCCGATCCCACAAACTCATGGTTGGATCCGCCACCAAGTATATTGGAGCACTCTACGAGTTTGGTGAGTGAGTGAATTGTAGTATTGAAACACTTTGTACAGTTTTTTGGATGTTACACAAACATATAGTTTTATGAGCTTATGAACTTTTGTTTTGGGACATTTAAATCTACTATTACTATGATCTCTCCTCCCCTAAATACAGAGGCAAGGCTAGGATTTGAACCTTATAGGTTCGAGATTATAATCTTTTTAAGTTATTAAGTTTTAAATTAATAATTTGTACATGTTTATTGGATTTCTTAATACAAATACAGGGTTTGAACAAAAGTTATTAGGTTCAGTCGAATCCGCAATCAACACTGCGCCTCCGCACCTGCCTAAACACTTGTCTTTGATCTCTCACGCTGTAAACAACAAAAATAACTATGCATCAGTCCTAAATAAGTTGAGGTCGACTGTATGAATTCTCATTAATCATGTTTCTCTTTTGTGTGAGGATTTATTCTGACAGCCTATCACAATCTTTTTCCTTTATTCGAACGTGGGAGTATTGACAGTATGAGCAAATTCACATAGGCGGAATTATAAGTTGATAATATAACAAAACGAAAAATTCCATAACACCGCTTGACTTCAGTTGCAGAATTTTAGTAAAGGGCAACTTGATGCACAAAGCATTCTGTATTTACGCAGGGTCGAGGGAAGAGCCACACCCCTAAAGGCGTGATATAGATATCCTACCCCAATATAAGCATTGACAACTGCTTTCACTACTCAAACACGTAACCTATAGGTCACATGAAGACAATTTTACCATTGCTCCAAGGCTTCCCTCCATAGATATTTTGATATGGAACTGGCTTTTTGGTATTCATTATCTCTAATTACCTACTGAATTGTCAGAATTAGGAACAAACAAATAAAGAGATTGTGTAAAACAACACATGATATTCTAATTAATCCCACTAATGCTTTACTTAATTTGTTAATACTTAATGAGTCATCAGTATTCACAACAAACGGAAAAGGAAGGGTGTAAAGTAACATAAAGGGAAATTTTGAAATATTAAATCAAATCCCACTAATGCTTTACTTAATTTGTTTATGACAAGATAATGAAAGAAAAATGATAATGCAAGGATGCACTAGTCCAGGACAAGAATAAAGATAAATAAATTTTTTCATTCCTATACACGAAACTTTATTATCCTAAATGTTCGTGTTTAATAAATTACCCTACCTACACAAGTTTTGTTTACAAAATATATACATTACACCTTAAAAGACTCTCAATCCATTATTTGTGCCTTTAGTTACACCCCTTTCCTTTTTTCCTCTCCTCTCTCCCCTTTTCTCTCCAGATTCTCTCTTTCTCCCCATATCTTCGGCAGATAAGTCACATACAAACAACATTGTCTGCCCCTTGATTGGATTTAATTCATAATGTGTGAGTGTCCTATTTAAATACAACTTAGATTGGGAAAAAACCACAGAAACGGTAGCAACAATATCAATGAACCTCTATTTTGTCCTTATCATTTTTCCATGAACTATCAATGCACAATGAAATTGATATTAAACCAGGTTCAGATTTTGGATTTTGAAGTATAGTTTGTGAATAATACTCATGTAAACAAAGTTCATTTATTGTGGTTAACGATGAACTAAAGTTAATTTAGTACTATCACTCAATCCTAGATCGTACAATATGTTTCTCCCTCATTTTAGTGATAACCAAAGTTGCGAGTAATGTTGTTGAACTGGAATCTGGAGTACAATTATTAGCTCCAACGTCCCTCACATGTCAAGCTGAATATGATAACGTTCAAAGATATACAATCACTAAGAGACGATCAATGCATTAGCCAAAGATTATAGTACTATGCATGTGATGACCCAAAATGTCATCTTTAAATTAAACAATCATCTCATTATTCGACTTGCGTGCGCAATCCGTATTAATTTTCGGAAGGGTTTTATATAAAAAATGGATTAAATTGTGAACTACAGCTTTAAAACTCAACTGAGTTGACTTCGGTCAATATTTTGAATAAACGAACTCGGATAAAAGTTTTGACCATTCCGGTAGTTCCGTATCGTGATTTGGGACTTGGTCATATGCCCGAAATCGAATTTAGAGGTCCCTAGATCAAATTATTGCCATTTAACGGAATTTAGAAATCTAAGGCTAAAAATTTCTTAAGTTTGACCGGAGATTTGACTTTTGAGAAAAAGACCCGAAAATAGAATTTTGATGATTCCAATAGTTTCGTATGGTGATTTTGGACTTAAGAGTATGTTCGGATTTGGATTTGGAACTCCGTAGGACAATTCAGCGCATTTTGGCGAATGTTGGAAAATAAAAGATTTTTGGAAAAGTTTGACCAACTGTTGACTTTTTGATATCGGGGTCAGAATACAGTTTTAAAAATTTTCATAGCTTCATTATTTCATTTATGACTTGTATGCAAAATTTGAATAGGTTTTTGCATCAAATATAGAAGTTGGACGTTCTTAGTTTCATTAGGCTTGAATTGGGGTATGATTCACGGTTTTAGCATTATTTGATGCCATTTGAGGTTTCGACTAAGTCCATATCATGTTTTAGGACTTGTTGATGCATTTTGTTGAGGTCCCCAGGGCCTCAGGTGGATTTCGGAAGGTTAACGGGTATAAAAAGGCTGCTGAAATGTTCTAGGTAGTTTTTGCATTTTTCGCACGTGTGAACAATGACCGCACCTGCGTGAACAATATCCCTGTACAATACACATAAATAGTATCCGTGTAAAGTAGCCGTGTACAGTACCCCGTAAACAGTACCTGTAAATAGCACCTCGTGAACAGTACCCGTGAACAGTCGTGAACAGTACCCGTGAACAGTCGTGAACAGTACCTGAAATTCCATTTTTACCAAATTGGAGCTCGGGGAGAGGCGATTTTCGGGAGATTTTCAGAGAAAACAAAGGGTTAAGTGTTCTTAACTTAATTTTGGTTAGATTACCCGAATCTATTACTAGTTTTGGCATTAAATCTGTGAATTTAGTTGGAAGAGTTTGGAAACCCTCTCGGATAGATTTGAGAGTCGAAATATTATCGAAATTTAGTAATTTTGGTATGGTTAGACTATGGGTTGGATGAGGTTTCATATTTCGCAACTTTCGTCGAATTCCGAGACGTGGGCCCCACAGGTGAATTTTTAGTACAATTTCGGATTTTTAATGGAAAATGTAGAATTTCATATGGAATTAATTCCTATAATTTTTATTGAGTGAATCGAATTATTGTGACTATATTCGAGGCATTCGGAGGTCGATTTGAGAGGAAAAGACATTGCGGAGTAGGATTTTGCTCGGATTGAGGTAAGTAACGATTATAAATCTGGTCCTGAGGGTATGTAACCCCGGACATTGTGTTGTAAGACTATTTTGGAGGTGACGCACATGCTAGGTGACGGACGTGTGGGCGTGCACTGTAGGGATTGTGACTTGGTCCGTCCCGCGAGACTGTGGAATCAATTGACCAACTGTTTAATACAAGTTCCCTCTGTTTTCGTAGAAATTGAATGTACTTCATGTTAGAAATCATGTTTAGGCCTTATGTGATTACTGTTGAGACCTGAGAGGTCGTGTACTTGCTGAATTAGCTGCTAAATTACTGTTTGTATTCAGTCATAACTTTTCTTGCTTATTATGCCTTTGTCTCTTACTGTTATTGTTGATACATGATATTACTTCTGTTTGGGCTGTTTATATGATTTCTGAGAGTCCGAGAAACTAGAGAGATTGATGACTGAGTAAGGCCAAGGGCCTAGTTGTGAGATATTGATACTATAGCACGTGAGTTGTCCGTGCAGCTCGTGAGTTGCCCATGCAGATCTAGATATTGATACTATAGCATGTGAGTTGTCCATGCAACACGTGAGTTATCCGTGCGGATCCAGATATTGATACTATAGCACGTGAGTTGTCCGTGCAGATCCAGATATTGATACTATAGCACGTGAGTTATCCGTGCAGCATGTGAGTAGTCCGTGTAGATCCAGATATTGATACTATAGCACATGAGTTGTCCGTGCAACACGTGAGTTGTCCGTGTGGATCAAGATATTATATTATAGCACGTGAGTTGTCCGTGCAACATGTGAGTTGTCCGTGCAGATTATAGCGCTTGGGCTGAAGGAGCCCCTCCAGGAGTGTGCACACCCCTAGTGAGCACAGGTATATGATAGCATGTGAGTTGTCCATGCAGCATGTGAGTTGTCCGTGAAGTTTATAGTGCTTGGGCTGAAGGAGCCTCTCCGGAGTCTTTACACCCCCAGTGAGCGCATGCACCTATTGAGTATGATTATTGAGGGCTAAGAGCCGAGTGATTGAGCTGTTGAGATGAGCTGAGTGACTGTTGCCTTGAGAGGCCATATTTGTTTTCAGTTATTTGCTACACTTAGTTGCTATTTGTCCCTGTCGTACATATTTTTGGAATATTTGATATCTGATTTATTTGAGTACACACTGATGAGATTAAACTGTTAAATTGAAAGTATGACTACTCTTATTTGAAAGTTATTGAGATAACTGTATTTGCATAGCTCGTCACTACTTCTCAGTTCCTTATTTATTTCTGTTACTTACTGAGTTGGTGTACTCACGTTACCCCATGTACCTCGTGTACAAATCTAGACACTTCTGGTCACGGCGCTTGCTGATTGAGGAGTCAGACTCTGGAGACTATTGAGGTAGCTGCATGGCGTTCACTGACCTTGACTCTCCTTACCTTTCATATTCTACTGTTGTATATTTTCAGATAGTGTTTTATCAGTCGGATGTTGTTATCACTTAGATACTCATGCACACAATGACACCGAGTTTTGGGGATGGATTGTTTAGTACTTTTGGAGTTATATTCTGTTCTAAAAGATTTTATTTAATATTAACTGCTTCCGCCTTTATTTAAAAGTTCCACTATGTTGAGATGTTGAGTTGAGGCTTGCCTTGTACCACGATAGGCGCCATCATGACGGGTGAGATTTTGGGTCATGACCAGTTGGTATCAGAGCACTAGGTTACATAGGTCTCACGATTCATGAGCAGGTTTAGTAGAGTCTTGCGGATCAGTACAGAGACGTCTATACTTATCTTCGAGAGGTTGCAGAACCCTTTAGGAAA